TGCCAGATCATGAAAGATGGTCCGTCCCGCTTCTTCCTGGCTTGCTGTCTTCAGAGACGCTTCTTGAGCCCCGAGCACACGTTATGACAAAGCCCAGGACATGTGCAGGTGCTACCTGTAGGTCCTCCAGCAGGGCCAGCCAGCACCAGCAGGCACCACCTCCCAGGACAGGACCGAGTCCCCATGTGATTCCGGTCACCCCACCCAAGGCCAAGTGGAATAGAGCTTGGTGCCCTTTAGCCCCCGCTTAGACTGCAGATTTCTGAGTTAAATCAGCGGGCCTGGGGCTTTAGGGTGCTTTGCGGTAGAGCAATAGATAACCCCTTTCAGCTTCAGCTTCCTCTTCTGCAGTGGGGACTAAATCTGGCTCTAAGATTGGTTTGCAAGCTGAGTGAGAGCCTGGCACAGTGAGTGTTCAGCACGGCGTATGCCACACAATGTTTACTGTCATAGACGAGGGCAGACGACAGTCTAAGTAAAAACAAAGAGCTAGATGAGGCACAAATGCTTTGAAATCAAAAGTATTAAAGAGCAACACGGACAATGTGTAAAATTTATTGTAAAGTAAAAGGTACAAGAAAATCTCCTAGGATACAAATAAAAGTGAAGAAAAATAAGAGGACAGAAAACTGAGGAAAGGCTTTAAACTGCTGCTCCCAAGGCATTCAGAACAACTACAATGAAAGGAAATGCACCTCTGGAAAAATACACACTGGAAAAATATAAAAGCAGGAAGTTTTATAAACTAAAATCCAACTCCACACTTCATTTACCAAACTATCCAAATTTAAATTATCCAAAGACACACAGAGGTAAAGTATGAAACATCAAAGACAAAAGAACTGCAAATATAACTGTCAGAGAAAAGGTTAACATACATGGAAAAAGTGGAGCTGCTCAAAATCATCATTAACTCTGAGCATTTGTGCATATTTTAGGAGTCAATTCACAAGCTACGACCACATGCAACCAAGGTAATGGTACCTGTGTTCTCGGGGTGTCCCGGGGCTGTCCTCTCCCCTTCTGTCCTGCCCAGTTCCCAGCAGCCACCCGTCTGCTTCCTGTCACCATTCCTTACTCTGCATGTGCAAATGTGTGTATCTTTACACGTGCAGTGCTCTTTGCCTCCGATTTTTCACTCGCAATAACTGTGTTCAGCTCTGCAGTCTGTGTCTTTCTAGGAACCTGGTGAAGTCGTAGCAGATATAGACAGGAAAGTTTTCTAAATGTTCCCTTATCACTTTAATGTTCTTAAATTCTATGCACGTCCCTTTGTCACTTTTGAAATTGGTAATTCGCTTCTTTTTCCTCACCTGTTTGAGTAGAAATTTATTACTTTTATGGATCTTCCTGAAGAAGCAACTTTTGGTTGTACTGATTTTCTTGTGTTTTCCTATAAACCATTTCATTGATTTCTGCTCTGATCGTTATCATCTCTTTTAGTTTGAATTTAATTTTCTCTTTTTTTTATAGTGTAAGAGGAACCTGAGGCTTGGTTTGAGAACTTTCTTCTCTCTAACGCAGGTGTTGACTGCGATGATGTTCTCCTAAGTTAGGGTTTCCTTCCTACAAACGTTGTCATAGTTTTGATATGTTAAGTTTAAAATACTTTCTAATTTCCTTCTGTGTTTTTGACTCATGAGTTATTTCATTTTCAAGTATTTGAAGATTTTCCAAAGATCTTCCCATTATTAACCGCTAATTCCCTTATGGTTTGAAAGCATGCTTTGTATATAACTTTAATCCTCTTAAATTTACTACTTGTTCTCTGACCTGGAATCTGGTCTATTGTCGAAGTGTTTGAGTGCACTTGAAAAATAATATGTATCCTGCTGTTGTTCAGTACGGTGTTCTATAAATGTCAATTATCCAGGAATTTGATCATGGTATTTAAATCTTCCATAGCCTTAATGATTTTTCTGTCTAGTTGTCTTATTATTAAGAAAGGGCTATTAAAATTCTGATTATAACTGTGTGGCTAAGAGCTTCTCCTGGTGATTCTGTCAGTTTTTGTTTCTGGTTCATGTGCTTGGAAGCTCTAAAATGAGCTGCATGCATATTCAGGATTGTTACACTTTCTCTATGAACGACACCATAATCACTTTACACAACATCCTTCCCCTCTGGTGGTATTCGTTGACCCGAAATCTGCTTTCTTTGATATCAACACAGCCACTGCAGCTGGCGGGCTGTATCTTTCTTTACTTTTAACCTATTTTGTCTTCTTTTTTTTGAAGTGTGCTGCTTGTAAGTAGCATATTGTTCATTCTTCTCTTTGATCCAATCTGAAGTTTCTGCCATTTAAGTGCAGTATTTACATAATTTACATATAATGTGATTATTGATACAATTATCTCTTTAAGATAATCATCTTGACTTTTTATTTCCTATTTGTATTTTTCCCTGTGTTCTCTCTCTCCCTTATCTTGGGTTAATCAAATATATTTCTTATTTACTATGATTTAACTTTACCTCCTTTAATAGTTCGTGACTTACATCTCTGCTTTGTCATCTCATTCATAGTGCTCTTAGGGCTCAAAGTATGATCTTAAACGGACTACAGTCTCACTCAAGTGACATCGAGTGTTGGAACCTTCTCTCCTACCAACGTGGTGCTATTCTCACCATATTTTTTATGTTATATACTACAAATTCCACGTTACTAATTCCACATTGCTAATTTAAAAAAAACTTTAAGGGAATTAAACAATACAATTTTAATACATTTTCACTATAATAGATATTTCTAGTCCTCTTCATCTCTTTGTATGGATCCATGTTTTCATCTGGCATTATTTTCCTCAGTCTGAAGGGTTTCCTTGAACATCTCCTATAGAGTAGGTCTGCTGGTGATGAAGTCAGCTTTTGAATTTTTTTGACATTCATTTTTGAACATATACTCCTCCAGGTATAGAATTCTAGGATTACAATGTTTGCTTGTTTTTCAGTACTTTAGAGAATGCCCTCATTGCCATCTGACCTGCTGTCTTATTTTCTCTGTTTACAGTGTCTTTTTTCACTATCTTCTTTCAAGATTGTCTCATTTCCACTCTTTTTGAACAATCTATGATGTGCCTTGTGACTATAGTGGGAGTTTCCCTCATGCTTCCTATCATTGGATTTTTATGGATTCTTAAATGTGTGGGTTTATAATTTTGATAAAAATGAGAAAATTTTAGCCATTATTTTTTCACCTATTTTTCCTTTCCCTTTTTCTCTCCAATTTCATATGCAGTAGCCTCCTGGAAGTTAGTTCACAGTTCACTGACACTGTTTATGATGTAAATTCTATTTTTAATGATACTTTTCCTGCAATATCATTTACATTCCATAAAAGTCACCCTTTTAAAGGGCACAGTTCAGTAACTTGTAATATGTTCCCAAAGATGTGAGCCCATCTTTATCTGACTCCAGAACATTTTCATCACCCCCAAAAGAGACCTCATCCCATTCCCAGTGGGTCCCCAGGGGACCCCACCCTGGCAAACGTTAGTCTACTTTCTGCCTGTTGATAAACGATAAATGAGAGTGTGGATGCAGAGTCACCACTCCGGGACGTCCACTGATGCCAGCTGCGGCGTAGTGAGGGCAGATGTCCTCCCAAGAGCAGATCCAACAACAAACTGATTCCAGACACGTGGTGTGTGTGATGGGGAGGCTGGAATATCTTAGTCAAAATATACCCGGTATTTCAAAAGAAACAAGAAATTGAGTTTTATATTACAGTTACTGATTTTCAGAAGTTGTCTACTGCTTAAACGTTTTAGAAGAAGATTCAGTGGCCAAACACAACACATCGTTTGTGGACAAAAATTCAACAGAAAAGCCAAGAGCACCAATGTACATTTATACTTGCTCATGTGGATATCCTTGAGATGCTATTAAATGATGTTTTAAAAATCCTGTTATAAACACTTTATATCACATGAAGTCATTTTTATTAAAAATGAAAGAATTTACATATAAGAATAAGCTCTACGTTAATAGTGGGTGATTTTTATTTCCATTTTTATACATTTTTCTGCTTTGATATTTTTCTATGGATCACTACTATTTTGTTTCACAAAAAATATATCTTTGTGATTATACAGGAAAGGATTGGTAGAGTAGTTTAAAATCTTGAGACTAAAAATAAAATAAAAATCACCAAATGAACACTCAGGCGCAAAACAGTACCCAGATCTGAGTTCACAATCAGTCCTCGCACGACGCCCTCAGAGGCCTGGCCTCTCTCACCTGCGAGACTCAGTGGATACCTGTGGTCACTGAGAGGCGGCTCCGTGGACCTGCCCTCGTGGCTCCCCAACAAGGACCCCGAGCTCCTCTGCTCCATGGCCAGCTTCCCATGGCCCCATGGTGCCCGCTGCAGAGGATGTGCTTGGGCGAGGCAGCTCCAGGATGAACGGGACCATGAGGGAAGGGCCGGCCAGGCACTGCCCACATCTTGATGTCCCCATAAGTTCACCCTCCACCCTCCTCCCACCATCCACATCCCAGGCAGGCATGGGCCCTCCCGGGGGTCAGGGGTGGCAGGGCCTGGGTGGGGGTGGGTTTGTGTCATCTGTGTCACCTCTCTCCTACCACCTGCGTCTCCGTACCCCTTCTCTGGGCAGGGACGCACTGGAGGGTAAGGATGTGTTTCCTGGACACCTTGGAACCACTGGAAACAGTGAGTTCAGGGCCTCTGCCCCCAGAGCCCGTGAAACTAGCATAACCTTTAAGAATTTTTACAGATTTTTCTTTTCTTTTGGTACAGGCGGTTGAACCCAGGACCTTTGCACTGAGCTACATCTCCAGCCCTTTTATAGTTTTTATTTTGAGACAGGGTTACTCAGTTGTCCAAGCTGAACTCAAACTGGCTGTCCTCCTGCCTCAGTTTCCCAGAGTGCTGGGATTACAGGTGTGCACCACCACGCTGGCTTCAAGATATTTTTCATATCATGACCCATTCATTACACATCCTTTTTCAGTTAATTCACAATGAAAGAGAACAAGAAAGGGGCTTTTCATTATCTTTACTCTCTCAGTAATGTGCAACATGAACATAACAGGCTTAAGAAGTCAGAAACAACACAGTAGCTAAAGAAGATGTTTATATTTGCAAAATTTCAACAATTATCTTCTCTAGATTCCCCCCAATTAGCGTAATTGTTAATCAAATTAATTTAGAAGCTTTTCAAAATAAAAGCAATGTTTTAAATAAATACATTCTTTCACAACCATAGAACATTTAGTTCTGTTGGAGGTAATGAATATTATACTCAAGTACTTTATGAAGACATTAGGGTAAAAATGATCTACACAGGTACCCTAATTAGTCATTTGCTTCTTTTTGCACATCTTTTTCTGTATGTGTTAAAATCCTAGATGTTTTGTATTCAGTTCTGAAATCATCAAGAATACATTAACTGACCTACAGAATGTGTGTCAGCTCATCATGATGATCTGGAACTGTCTGAGCCGTGCTTAAATTTAAATTTAGTCCCCGCACTGAATCCCATCAGAGCCAACGCCCCCCGGTGCCGGTGTCTGTAGTAGAAAATGAATGCTAGACGCCCAGTTCAGAGAAAAGCAACCTTCTGACAGGTCCTGAAGGTCCGTAACCGAGAGTAATTGTCAGGTCAAAACCCTGCTCCAGGAGCTCTTTTAGTGTGTTTCTGAGTACTCCGTGAGTGGGTAGCAATTCACTTATGATTGATGAAGTTGCATGTTTAGTAAATGACTAGAGGAAACTTCCTAAATATTTATTTTATTTAACATTTTAAAGAGTTTGCTAACTGAAGAAATGACTGCTGTTAATCTTTCCAGAACTTCTAAACATTTGTTTAAACTTTCATTTTTTAATTTCTACTGTGATTCTTAAGAATTTTTAATCTATATTTAATCTATCAAAACACCAATGCTTTGGCAAATTTGGCTTTCTTCAATAATAAGCTATGCTAAGATCTCTAAAGTAATGACAAAGGCAGAGACATAAAATTCAACACAGCTGCAGGTTATAGGAAGTGCTCATTAGGACTTCAGATTAACAGACTTGTCCCAAAATGATGATAAAGACAGGAATAACTTACTAAATGATTAATATGAATAATGCAACACAGAATGGAATGGATTTCAGTCTTTCTCTCTCTGTCTCACACACACACACACACACACACACACACACACAATCTCAGGATTTAAAACACTGCTTCTAAAGGTTTTAACTTAGATAAATTAATTACACTGAAATACTGACATTGTGAAAATATGTTTCTGTTCAACACCCCACAGAGGACGTCTTTTTGCGAACTCCTAAAAACGCCAAGGAAGGAAGAAAGCGCAGAGTGGCGTGGCGTGCAGAGGCCGGGGTCAGGGCCGCCCGCTGTCCTCACCGCCTTCCTTCTCCGCGATGGCCTCCAGGCTTCGCTTGCCCTTGGCCTCGGCCCCGCCGCCGGGTGCCCTGTTCAGCCCGCAGGACAAGCAAGCCAGCTGGACCTGCTTCATGTTCTCCAGGGCCTCGTGCTTGGCGCTCTTCAGCAGGTCTCCTTGTCCCTGCAGACAGGCGAAAGGGACAGCAGGAAGTTACGGGCGACTCTGCACCCTCCGCACTAGCGCTGGGGGACGCAGAGCCTCAGCTTCCTACATCTCGAGCTGCTTTGCTTTTCCAGCCCAGGACCTCAGCCCCAGTCGTTGTGCAGTCTGCGGTGGCCCGAAGTCTCCTGACCTACTCAGCACACGCCTCGTCTCCCTCTATCCCAGGCCTCTGACCTCACAACCCCCGAGGCTCAAAGGGAACAGGCCAGGGCCTCCCCAGCGATGGAGAGGAGCCCAGCCCCAGTGTCCGAGCATCCCAGGGACAACAAGCCCGCACCTCTGCCTGCTGAGCGGCTTCCACAACCACCTGAGTGACACAGCACTGCCCCACTGCTCCCCTCAGGCTCACTGGGAAGTGTCCAGCCAAAACCAGTGTGAGGGAGGACACTGGAAGGCAGCTGAGCCTGGGAAAGACTTCTTCCCTCTACTTTGCTTCTTGTGTTTTAGTTCACTGCCACCACGCTCGCGTGTCCACACTGTGACAGGCACCAGGGCAGAGGCACACAAACACCCCAGTCCATTCCCAGTCTGTGCCTGGGGCATGACCCCGAAACTGAAGGGGCGGGGAGGAGAGGGTGACACCAGAAAGAAGAACTGCCTGATATGGTGCACGACAACAGCTCTGCCACTTAGAGAATCTTATTCCTAGGGCCTTGAATATGTAATCCCGCAGCATCTCTGCAGGCCCTTGGCAAGTCCGGCCTCCACAGTGATAACTAAGTCTTCTTAATAACAGCCTTTAGTTTTAAGGAACGGGCAGTCCAGAACTTCAGTCCTAACCACTTTATGGTAGGGCATCTTTCAAAAACAAATCACAAACTCCCTGCAAAGCCCCCCAAAGCCACCTATTCATTGCTAGCCATAGCAACCACAGAGACAGAAAAAAGCACTGCTCAGAGTCACAACCTGACAGAACTTGGAGAAGGGATCTGGGGCCGGGAGAACAGAGTGCACCCAGAACACCCTGCCGGAGACAGTGAATTCTGAACTTTAAAAATGTCTTATCATAAAGACACACTGCATTAGTCCCCCTCACTGTCCTCCCCCTCACTTTGAACACACTTAGCCCATCGTTCTCAGCACTTTCTGAAGCAGCTCTGGAGTCCTCTTTCTGAGCAAGAAGAGATGAAAATATGGTGAATGCTGCTGCCAGGCATCATCCAATGGACAGGCAAGGGCATAAAAACATGACTGTGTCCTCATCCACATGTCCGCCAGTCTGGCTCCCTGCAACTTCCGGCTCTTCCCAAAACTCAAACTGACCATGAAAGGGAAACGTTTTGAATAATTCAGGACACTGAGCAGCCACAACAGCACAACTAAAGACACTCAGGAAACAGGACCCCAGAGTTGCTTCAGAAAGTGGCAAAAAAATGTGTACAAAGTGAGAGGCAGTATTTTCAGGGGAATAAATGACAATGTGTTTTGTACTATAATAAACTTTTTAAAAAATCTTTTTTAATTCACTGTATTTTTTCTGGTACCGGGAATCAAACTCAGGTCCTTGCGCTTGCAAGGCAGGCAGCGAAACCACTGAGCTAAATCCCCGGGCCCACTGTATGTTTTGATCACACCTTATATCCATCAATTTCAACCTGGTCCATGTTCCTTACTATAAAAATGATGAAAATGTATCTTGACCTCCTCCCACTTCTAAGATCAAAGAGAACATGTTGAAAAGCTGCTTAAGACTTAAGGATTACCATGCTATAAGATGACATGGATATTTTCATAACTTCCTTCTCATCAAGTTCATTAATGTTGTACTCAAATCCTAAAATTAAAGACCCAGTCAAGAAATGGGCAAGAGAAATGAACAGACACTTCACAGAGGAAGAAACACAAATGGCCAACAAATCCATGAAAAACATCTCTGGCCATTAGAAAAATGCAAATTAAAACAACTCCAAGATTCCTTCTTACTTCAGGAAGAATGGCAATCATAAAGAAATCAAATGATAACAGATGCTGGCATGGCTGGTAAAAGAGGAACCCACCTGCACTGTTGATGGGAGGTAATCTAGTACAACCACTATGGAAATCAGTATGGAGATTTCTCAAAGAACTGAAATTAGAACTGAAATTAGAAATTCCATACAACCTAGCTATCCTCCTTCTAGGTCTCTTCCCCAAAGAGCTTAAGTCATCATACTACAGTGATACATGCAGACCTATGTTTATAGCAGCACAATTCACGAATCCTGGAAGACAGGGATTTAGCTCAGTGGTTCTGCCGCCTGCCTCAGAAGCACAAGGACCTGAGTTCGATGCCCGGTACCAAAAAAAAAAAGCAATCCTAGAAGCAACCTGTATACCCATCAACCAATGATGGAAAAAGATGTGGTATCTAAACATAATGGAATACCACTCAGCTATAAAGAATGACAAATTTGAGGCATTTATAAGAAAATGGATGCAACTGGAAATATAATGTTTTGTGAAATAAACTAGACATGCAGCTTAAATACTGTATGGTATCTCTCACTTGAGTGAGGCAAAGTACAAACAAAGAGAATGATAAAGGATGGACAGAAGGGAATGAGGGGATGATCTCATGCAATGGCGAAGTGGTCCAAGGGAACAAGGACAGGGGTAAGGAGGAGGCGAAGGGGAAGTGAGTAGAATAAAGATGTGTCCTGTACAGGAGCCTAAAACCTCAATGAATGTAACTTTATATGCCATAGCATGAGCTAAGGTTAACGAGATCAAGAAAAATGAAAATCAGGATATGGGGCTGAGAGGAGGGGGAGAGAAAAGGGAGGGGAAGAGAGTAACAAAAAGAAACAAGCTGTGGTACGCACCTGTACCCACTCCCCAAGATGACTGTAAACTGCATGTACTGCAAACGCGTACTAATGAAATTTTTAAAAGTGAATAAATAAATAAAATACCTTAAAATCTGAAAAAAAGATGATCTGGAAAGCAGTGACATTTTCTACTACTATAATAAATATCTTAATGTAAGTTAGACTAAGTCGCCCGAAACGCAGCTATGAGTCTGTCCCGCAGAGAGGCACGCGGCCCCGCTGTGCTCATAAAGGGCACAACCCCTTCGCAGTGAGCTATGCTAATAATAAGGCCACGCCCACGAACGTCTGCAGAGCGTCACCTGTAAGTGTTCTCTATTCTCCTAGTTGCGAAATGATCAGCAAGCATTTTAAAAGCAAAGCTGGCACCCTCCCTCGCTGTCGGAGGACAGGGAAGCCCACAGAAATATACAGCTTGCTGCCACCAGTGCACAGGGCTGTCGCCCCGCGTGCCCTGCAGCAGGTTACGAAGCACTGCCACAGCCCAGATGCCATCCTCCAGTTCCTGGGGGGTGGTGCCCATGCTAAATGCCAGACGGTGCCAGCTCCAGCACACAGAAGTCAGTCTCTCTGCAGAACAATGGCCAGTTGGGGGAGACAGCTTGTACCAGAGCACGAGGTGCCACTCCACCATCTCCCGCTCACTCTGCAACAACCCGGGCCAGCTGCACAATATGGGCAGGAAAACAACAAGCCAGGGACCTCAGAAGTCAAACTGAAATCACAGGGGAAGCAAAAATAAAGCTCAGAAGAGCTTACACCAAAACTTTTACGTAAAATTTTGTTTTTTACTTTTTTTAAGAAGGAGGGATGGGGTGACCTTTCTGCCCCATGGTTCACGGAATCACACGCTGTGGTCCCCACACATAGAACCACAACCAGAAAAGACTCCTTGCAGCACTGTGGCGAGTGTAGAGTTGCAGTCAGCCCCACACTGCGCTTTGCTGCTGTCCTTTCCCCTTTTGTGGGCATCAGCTTCCTCTGGCCTCCGAGCAACCCCGCCGTCCACTCGGTCACGAACACTGCCCTGCCCACCCACATCACACTCCTCCTCTGTCCTGTGGGCCACTTTTTCCGGGACGTGTTAGGGAAAGCATGTGTGGATTCAAAGCGTACTCTGAGACTTTTTTTGGTACAGGGCCTTTGCACTGAGCTATATCCCCAGCCCCTTTTAATTAATATATATATATTTTTTGAGATAAGATCTCATTAAGCCACTAAATTGCTCAGATAGGGCTCAAACTTGCTATCCTCCTACCTCAGCCTCCCAAAGTGGTGGGATTATGGGCGATTCTTAATAGTGTTTTAAATCTATTCTCAATAGAGATCTTAGAGGAGGAAGAGAGAAGCCAGGAAAATTCATTTTACTTGGTATTATACAAATGGAAACACATCTTGTGTGCTAAAATAAATCCAGGATCATCATAGCTTGGAATGCAAAATTAATGTACAATCTGACCACAAAACACTCAGCCTGAAAGAAATGTCAAGCTGCTGCTGGCTTTTTTAGACTCACAGGAGCTCGGAGTTACAAGAAAGGAGGGAAGGGCTTTCACCAAAGGGAAATGCAGGCACTGTGCAGGCCCCAGGTGCCCCATGGCTGAGGGGACAGAGGACACAGAGTCCTGGCTGAGGGGCCACATCCCTCCCCTCTGGGACTCAGCCCTGAATGGCAGAGTCCATGGCAATTCCAACACATCAGAAAGTAACACTTGCAGTCACAGAAAGCCACAGAGAAGCCATTATAGAAATCTGAATCCAAAAATCAATGATTAATATTTAAAAGCACAAACATTAAGTGTTCCTTGCCAAGTCCTTCTAACAACATTAAAGTGCGCTGCCCAGAAATCAGGATATACCTGGCACAAGTGAGACGGCAAAGTGTGCCGCTACCACATGGCCACAAGTCCATCTGCTGCCACCACTGACTCCCCACAGAACCCGATCACAGCACTGTCGGCACTATCGGCACTGACATGACAACTTAATACACTGGGTAGGCGCCCTCACCTCATTAGTGCATAACCATGGAGCCGCTGCCATTCTAAATATAAGTTACCCGTTCTCCTACGTCCCATAACCTCTTGGGAGACACTTCAGAAATTCTTATTTCTGTTCTTGCTAAGAAATGCAGTCCCCTACACTGTTTGA